CGGGTTGTAATTTGGCATGCAGATAGATGTTATGACGTAAGCATCCGATGTGAAAGGATTTTGATAATTTCCACCCCCAATGGGGGTAAAATAGGGGATGAAAGTTTGTATGAGACTTTGTCAGTTTTAAACCGATCGGGTTGTAATTTGGCATGCAGATAGATGTTACGACGTAGGCGTCCGCTGTGAAAGGATTTTGATAATTTCCACCCCCAAGTGGGTAAAATAGGGGATGAAAGTTTATATGAGCCTTTGTCAGTTTTAAACCGATCAGGTTGAAATTTGGCATGCAGATAGATGTTATGACGTAAGCATCCGCTTTGAAAGGATTTTGATAATTTCCACCAAGGGGGTAAAATAGGGGATGAACGTTTGTGTGAGGCTTTGTCAGTTTTACACCGATCGGGTTGAAATTCGGCGTGCAGATGGATATTATGACGTAAACGTCCCTTTAGAAAGGTTTTTGAACATTCTCACCCCAAAGTATGATACTTTGCCAGTTTTAAATTGATCGGGCTGAGACTTTGCATGCATAAAGTTACTATGACATAGGTATCTCTTTAGAAAGGATTTTGATAAATTCCACCCCTAAGGGGATAAAATAGGGAATGAGAGTTTGTATAAATCTTCTTAGCCGTTGAATTTAGAATCATTGAATCTTTTTGAATTACATTCGGTAAAACGATGATTTGGGACCTGGGTAACGTATGATAGTTTTTTCACAGATGTCTCACGAGAACGGGAACTATGCGTCAATGCCCCAGGACTCTCTAACTCTTAACCACTGAACTTATTCTAGAGAGATTCGGTACAACAATAGTCGATAGAATAGTTTTTATTACTCAAACCTTACGTGATCGGGCACTGTACTGGTAAGATCCCTGCGGGATTATTTATTTATTGAAACTACGATAAATCATTTCAAAATAGGTAAATCTTACTTGGGCACTGAATTGATTCTGGTTAATTCTGTCAGAAGTCATTAATCTACGCGGACGAAGTCGCGGGCAACAGCTATCTACACATATAATAAATCGTAGAAAAGTCAAAACTGTACATTGAATATTTTTTAAAAGAATATTTGAAGCGTGATCTCTAATCGATACCGAAGCCAATAATGTGGTTTTTAGAATTTTTGTCTGTTTGTCTGTATGTATGGCCGTGATGATCTCAAAAAGTACTGCACTACTATTTCAAATTTTGCATGAATATTACTAACAAGTCTGGTAAACATATAGGCTACATATTATCACGCTATCATCTACGGGACTGAATCAATTCTGACGACATCCATTACCGTAGAATATCCCTTGATAAAAACTAATTCAAAAGCCTAAATTCTGCCAGAAGTCATTATTCTACGCGGACGAAGTCGCGGGCAACAGCTAGTTCATTTATAAACTACGAATCAAAAATTGACCCCTCTTTTTTAAAGTCGTTTAATGAATATACTAAAACCATATCTTAAGTATGTAGGTATGACAAACACTTTTCTGAATTTCGTATCGAAATCGGTTCAGCCAATCGTGAGATAATCACGCACAAACAAACATACATATATACATACAAGTCTAAATAAGGACCTCCTTTTTTAAAGTCGGTTAAAAATCAACTGTATTAAACAAAATTGTGCTCATAATAAAAATACACTCGAAAGCATCAACGACCCCTTCCATCGACAGTCTCCTTAACATATCTAGTGGGTGGTCCATTCACTAGTATCACGAACTACAAATTGCCTTATACTTGTTTGTGTAGTCAGGCCCACATAGCTCAATTACGCACTGGCCAATTATTATATGAACTCTTCCCATGCGGCTAAGCGTTCCTGGTTCACTCTCGTTATGCACTTCAACTCCGAACTCGTAATTACCTGTGCTTTGAATAACATAGTGGGCATTTTTTAGGGTTCGGTGAAGAGATGAAGAGATTTCGATTCTTTTTGTTTATTGCTCTGTTAGTTGGTATTAAATGCAATAAGGATGAAAATCCTATAAAATTTTGTAGTGTTCTTTTATTATTTTTGCTAGTTGCGTTTATAATTAGTTATTGATTTTGAATTAAAATGAATGGTGGTGTAGTTTTTATTTTTATGTAATACCTACGTATCAATAGTTTGGATAGAAAAAGAAGTTCAGTTACATTTATCTTCTCAAAACTGAACTTTACTTCTAAATTGAGTATATAGTTAGTTAGTTATGTTATATCACTCATCCCAGAAAACATCAAATTAGATTCACAATTTACTACCGTGCGACTTAAAATGCATGCATGTTGAAATATACTATAGAAGTCTCAGTTATGTAATCTTAGAACTTGGTAGAAGTAAGTTAGAAGCTAAAAAGAACATAACATAAAACCTCGTCCTTTATCTCCGAAGGGGTAGGCAGAGGTGCACATAGAAGTAACATCCACTTTTCTCTATTTATGTTATGAGTCCCATGTAACAGGGTGTGAGCCTATTGCCATATACCGGGCACATTTCCAGACCCCGTACTACTACTGAGATTTTTTTTTAAACCCAGTAATTCTTTGTCCGACCCGGGAATCGAACCCGAGACCTCTTGCCCGGCAGTCGCACTTGCGACCACTCGGCCATCGAGGCAGTCCTAAAAAGAACTACGGATAAATCTACAGAACCAAGAATCATAAACAAAACTCGCAGTGATTTTTTCACTATTGAATTATTTATAGATAAACTGATGGTTGTTACGGAAAATAATAACGTTGAGTATCCGCTTCTTTGGATCTCGATAAAATTGTTAGTCATATTTTTTCTCTGCTTACATAGTTAAAGCGTTCACTATTATTATAAGGATGTTATTATACCTATGTTTAGTTCCAGTTTGGACAGACAATGTTTTTCATGGTTATTTAGATCTAGATTAGGAAACAATGTGGGATTTAAAATTAGAGGTAGATACTTATTTCAGATATTCGGTTTAGGCATTGTTGCTAATAAAATGCTGGTCGTTAAAATTATCCGTGTATGATGTATAAGGAATAATTTAATCAGGTAGATTTTTATTGAAAGCAAATTAGGTTGTTCGCCTACGAAACAAAATTTTACTTAAACAATGGCTGAAAGGTCATTAACCTAAAAAAGGCAACGGTGATAAGTGGGATGTTTCAAATTAGTCAAATTCTTTGACGTCATCATATCTTTGCATCAAATAGCATGTCGAAAACTAAATAGGTACTTATCTGTCGTGAAATTTACAACAATGTATGATTATTTTCAGTTATTTATATTATTTAAAAATTTGTTTATTGCTGCTAAGACTGCCCAATTGCCTACACCATACGTCACATGATCTGAACTACAGAATAAAGTATCAAATAGAAGCTCTCATAACATCACAACTCTACACCATATGCGTCCCAAACGCACATACATAATTTATTTATAATTTAAACTTATCACCGACTTCAAACGCTGGAAGAAACATTGTGAGAAATGCCACACGTTCATTTTAATTAATTCTAAATGTATTGCTCTGTGAAGGGTAACTTGTCAGGACACCTGTCATCATTGAGAACCATGGCTGTGCATGGTGGTTTGAATGACATGGGATTATCTAGATTAAGCTACTATATGGATATTATTGTAGTTTGCTTCGTTTTAAAATATATCATTAATAGAAAGAATTTGAATCGGTTGTTGATTTAGGGTGACGCTATTGCTGAGTAATTTATTAAATTTAGTTGTTTTGACCTTTTTGCGCCGTGCATACTGTTATCATTTTTATGTAAGTACTGTTGTATTACTATTCTTCTTATTTTTAATTTGTTACGGCGCAAATAAACAATTTTTCTTTCTTTTCTCCATTTTTATACAAGTTCAGTTTTAATTTACATGCTATATACTTAATTTTTTTTTTTTTTTTTTTTTATGGCATAAGCCGGTAAACGAGCAGACGAATCACCTGATGGAAAGCAATCGGCGTCGCCCATGGACACCTGGAACACCAGAGGCGTTACAAGTGCGTTACCGACTATTTGTGGATTAGGAGTTTGAGGATTGTTGGGGATTCAGGGATTGGGGAGATTGGGGAAGGGGAGGGAAATTGGGCCTCCGGTAACCTCACTCACGCGACGAAACACAATGCAAGCGTTGCTTCACGTCGGTTTTCTGTGAGGCCGTGGTATCACTCCGGTCGAGCCGGCCCATTCGTGCCGAAGCATGGCTCTCCCACACTTTTTGTTGTTTTAATAGCCTATTTACATGTTTTATATGATAGCATATTAAAATCCACTTTCCATTCAACCTTTTATACAAAGTTTACCTCATAAACGAAAAAGCATATGCATGTTGTAATACAATATGTTATGTGTAACATTTTACGTAAAAACTGGGAGAATTCTCAAAAAAGTTGATGTTGCGTTAAGAGGTTTTCGTCGACCATAATGTAAGAGAACACGTTAACTTCAGAACCATGTGGTGTCCCAGAAAACTATTTTGCAAGTCTTTTATAAGAGAACGATCCTGAGTGAAAAGTTTACCGAACTTGTTCAAGACACAACAGGTGTTCGTAATATAACGGTATTAGCCCCTTTTTTAAAGAGTTTTAAAAAGGCAACTTTGTATTCAATGAACAGAAGTTTGAACAATACCACCGTTTATCTTTCAACATGTTTTCCTTACAAAATAAACCAGCGGGGTAGATTAAGATTTCAAATTGTTTCTTACCCAAGCCTTGAAAGTTTACGAAAACTTAGCAAATGTGAAAGACTTAAATCTGCACGACGCCCCTTTAAAATCCAACTACAATTACCAGGGTTGAAAGAAAAATTTGTTGCACAACAACAAGCTCTGCGGAACTAGATCTCAGTTTGTTTATAATTAATGCTCGATACACCCGCGCGGGAATAATTCAACGGTTTATGTACCCTTGATAATATGAAACGAAGTTTCTTTAGACGCCGGGGCGTCGCGGTAGCGCGGGGCGTACGACGCTGTGGGGCGGAGTTAGGAAGCGCCGTTCAGTCGGTGGGCAGCCGCCGTACGCGCCACACGCTACTAGCTAACGCGCTGAACTCTGTCATGCCACGCGAGTCGCGATGTCGTTTCCACGTGAATATTTATGATGTGATCGACCAATTCGCTCCCTCATAAATGGCACTGCCGACCTCAATGTATCATAACTACTCGCATATGACCGTAAAATGCTAATAAAACGAACTGTTGTGAAAAGACTCGAGCACCGAACTTTTAATCGAATAATAGTGTACGTGTTGTTCTTCTACCATGTCATCGAGAGGTACTCCGCAGCCGAAATGCCGCACGAGTGCGTGTATCGCAGCTTCGAAGCGGAAACGTCGGAGAACGCGGTTCTTTTCTGCAAAATCCGAACCATAAGCAGTTTAGACCACCTGTTACAAAATGTTAGTAGGACGTATTTCGACGACGTGATATCGTTACACGTTCAGTGCAGTGAAATTTTATTTTTCGAGAGCACGTTGACCGCTCATGCTGAAAAATCTTCAGGAAAACATACAAGTTTATCAAAGCTGCGAGATCTCGTCATCGACAAATGCAAGATACGCCAGATACCGGCGCGAGCTTTTGAAAACTTCAACGACCTGAAACGTCTGCACGTGACGACCCACAACAGCGAATGGTCGGCGATGACTATGGAGTTACACGAACAAGCCTTCGCGGGCTTGAACGAGTTAATTGAACTCGATTTAAGTGACAACAACATCTGGAGTACTAAGACGGAGACTTTCTGCCCGTTGTATAGTTTGAAAACTTTGAACCTGACTAATAATCACTTGCAAAACATAAAGACTATTGGGTTATCCGACTCAACAAGAGAACAAAACTTAAGCGTAAGAAGTTGTAATTTAGTCATAGAAGTTCTTGATGTGTCGTATAATGACTTAATAGTTTTAACTGATAATAGTTTGTCTAAGTTACGTTCACTATCGAAGTTGTTATTACAAAATAATGCAATATCTACCCTAGAAGATGGTGCCTTTGAAGGATTGCTCAGTTTGCAGGTTTTAAATTTATCAAGTAACTTTTTGAGTGATATTCCTCCTGAACTGTTTTCTGACTCAAAATCCTTGAAGGATATTAACTTTAGCAATAACACCATTGAAACTTTGCCACCGGGGCTCTTTGAAGGATTAGATCAGTTACAGATATTAGATTTGTCACGTAATAAACTTACTAGTCAGTGGATTAATAAAGGCACATTTTTAGGATTATTGCGTATGGTTATACTTAATCTGTCATATAATAGAATAAATAGGATAGATCGTCATATGTTTCAAGATCTGTATAGTCTACAGAAATTAAACTTGGAGCATAATGAAATCACTGCCATAGACGAGCATGCATTCGGAGAGTTGCGAAACTTGCACTCTCTTACACTTTCAAACAACAGACTTGTGCATGTTCATACTCACTTGTTCACTGATTTACATGTTTTGCACGAATTATTCTTAGATAACAATAAAATAAAGCACATTGAGGAAAACGCTTTCGATAATATGACAGCTATTGAAGATTTGGGTTTAAGCGATAACTTTTTGTCTGTTATCCCTACCTCGATACGAAAACTCCGATCTCTAAGGTCCTTAGACATCGGAAACAACAATATAACACATTTGAATCGCGAAAATTTTAGGGGACTCTCTGAACTTTTTGGTTTACGTTTAGTTGATAACAAAGTTACATATTTGAATGAAGATACATTTGAACATCTTCCTCAACTTCAGTTCCTTAATTTAGCTTCTAATAAAATTAAGCACGTTGCACCTGGCTGCTTCAGAAAAAATGTGAAATTAAAACTGCTGAGAGTTGACGATAATGAGATCTCGAAAATAGATGGAATTTTCAGCACGTTAAATAATTTAGTTTGGCTTAATATGTCGGCAAACAAAGTTATGTATTTCGACTTTAGAAGCTTTCCTGACAGCCTCGAATGGTTAAACCTTCACAAGAATAATATCGAAAATTTTGTTAATGACGATATGTATTCCAATGTAAATATTAAACTTTTAGACCTTAGTTTCAATAACATAAGTGAAATTGCTGTAACATCCATACCAAAATCTGTTGAAAAACTTTACTTGAATGACAATAACATTCAAAACATTCAAGTCGGGTCTTTTTCTAAACTACAAAAACTAACAACTGTAGCGTTGAATAATAACAAACTAGTACAACTTGACATGAACGCCTTTAGGTTAGATCAAATAGACGAAGATAGTGACTTACCCGAGTTCTTTATAAGCGGAAATCCATTTGTTTGTGACTGTTCAATGGAATGGATTCAGCGCATTAATTATTTGAGTCACAGTCGACAATACCCGCGCGTGTTAGATTTAGATAAAGCCCTTTGTACGCTGGTCCATTCGCGGGCCAAAGAAAAAAAGACGATAATAGATATGTCACCTTCTGACTTTCTCTGTCCGTATGAGAGTCATTGTTTTGCCTTGTGTCATTGTTGTGACTTTGTTGCATGTGACTGTGAAATGATTTGTCCAAATAACTGTAGATGCTATCACGACATAACTTGGAATGCGAACGTAGTAGATTGTTCGTACGCTGGTTATACCGAAGTACCCGAACGAATTCCAATGGACGCCACTGAAATATATTTAGATGGAAATCACATCAGCCATCTGGGAAATCACGTGTTTATTGGTAAAAAGAAACTTCAAGTCTTATACTTGAATAACACCAAGTTAAAAGAAGTAAATAATCAAACTTTTAAAGGTGTTGATTCTCTCAGAGTCTTGCATTTAGAAAACAATAAGTTGGTAGAGTTGAAGGGGGATGAATTTCTTCATCTTAATAATTTAAATGAATTATATTTGGACCATAACGCTATCGTGCATGTTGCTAATAACACGTTTTCTTCTTTGAAATCTCTTTCAGTTCTAAGAATCGACGATAATAAACTCGTCAACTTTTTTCCTTGGAAATTATTAGCTTCGTCTTCCAAAAGTTTGGCTCATGTATCTATTGAAGGAAACCAATATTCTTGTGACTGTAAGAGTATAGCAGAATTAGATTCGTGGCTTAGGAGGGATCCGGGAGACCCGGAGAAAATGTTGTGTACAGATCCTGAAGGAAAACCAACTAAAATAACCATTGCTTCAGTATTGAGTCATTGTAAAGAATATATGGGATCAATAGGAGACCCGACCGTTTCTAGAGATGAGATTGTATCCAAATCTATATTTCTTCCCGATAATTACTTTGCTGTCATATGCGGAGCGATAATTATTATCGTAGTGATCCTTCTAATAGGTGCTATATTTTACGCATTCAGATATGAGATTAGTGACTGGCTTTACACTAAATACGGCGTACCATTGTTCAAAGAACAGTCATGCCCAAATGTTGACCATGTGTTGGAAGGTATTCCGAATCACATGTATGACTACTACGTGATATGTAATACCAAAGATACGAGTTTCGTATATCATAATATAATGTCCGAGATAGAATACAGAAAGATGAGCACCAAAAAATTTTCCCCTAATGAAGCTTCTTTAAACATTCTTACTTTAGAAAGCTTCTCAAAATCATCTAAATTATCTAAGCGTTTAATTATTGTTATAACAACGAATTTCATTTGCAACGATCTTTGCGATATTCATTTTAAAAATCTATTTTTTAGTTATTTAAAATCTCTGAATCGTAGCGACTTGAATAAAGTAATATTTATCAAAGTCCTCGAGAACAATCAAATGAGCGAGGAATTGTGTTTTGTGTTGGATAAATACAAGAATGTATCTTGGAACGACCCACGTTTTTGGGACAGATTCATCGCTTTACTCAATTGTACTGACACTATTATCACAGTAAAAGGCTCTGAGAAGAGTGTATTCAAAAAGTCGTTACGTCAGACTCCGACGTTGAGATATACTACAATGCCGGTCTCAAACGATAGTTGCTCAAAGCAGAATTTTACAAACACCTTACAGTATTGTAAGAGGAACGAAGGGGAATCATCTCAGAATGAAAGTTCTCCGTCATCGGACAACAACACGTACGGGGAAGGGAACAATTCGAACAATAGCTACATGTCGATAGACAACAGAACTTGTCCACGGTTTAATTATGACCTGAGGCTGTCCCCTAGCAGTGGTCACGTATATTCTAGGGTAGATGATATTTCCCCGACTGTACCGCGCTCTATTACCAGCAATGCTTCTAGTAAGGGGCGCACGTACTTTGTTTGAACCATAGAATTTCAAACAACTCCTGTGGTTTTAATATTATTGCCGTTATCTAATATTCCAGTAAGTTTTTATTTTTCCTTTTATTTGCACTAAAACCTGCACTTATAAAATTTCATACACGTTTCGTAATTTATTAATTTATATTATTGTAAATACATTGTTACTTATTGTCGTACTTACATTTTGTCAATTTTCACATACGTAATGTAATCATTACTGAAGTCGAAACGTTTTTACAAGAATACAAGTATTTTAATGAAACAATATTTGTACAAAGTTTGTGTGAAAATGTTGAGTCTGATTGTGGTAACATTTTTCAAATATTAAAATTATTATTAATTGTATTGACATAGTTTATTGAAACTGTGAAATGTCACAGATCAGTCACTGTAATGCAACACCAAATAGCTTAAGATTTTTAACGTAATTCTCATACTCACAATTATATTAATGTGGATAGCTTTATTTATAAAAGAAAGTAATTTACATTTTCTTGAATTCATTCAAAAGTCTTAGTATTATTTTATTCACATTTTATTATTCAAAGTTTTATTATTTATTCTGGATCAAAATTAAACAGTCAATTTATCCAAATGTTGTGTTTTAGTATTATATTCTTTCTGATAAATATATTATTTATAACTGTATGAATGCGTATTTATAGGTATGTTACACTTATTAATGTGCTTAATCATAATAATAATAACAAAAATGTATATAACAATATAATAAAAAATAAAATTATGTTCGCAATGTTATCTGTTTACGGCTATATTTAGATGTGTTGCTTGAGTACCTATTTTAAAATAATTAAGCTAAATCGTGATATTAGATTTAATAATTATAAACTTCAAATAAATGTAATTTTTGGATTGTAATTATTAGTCATAATGAAAATTATTGTTTTGTATAAAATGTACAAAGATATCTTGAAAACGTAATAAATTATACTGACGTTTTGATACTTATTCAGAGTTTCATTTTTCATAGGCTCCTTTGAATATATATTTCAGTGAAAAACAATTATGTTTTACGTACTTTTAAAAACAGTTGTACATTCTAAATTTGAGAATCTTTTGTAAGATCGAAATCATATTTAAAATTTTGAACATTATTATGATAATCATAACATTAGACATAGATAAACGTGATATTACAGGTAGAGGTGCAAACTTTTTAAGTGTATATTTTTTTATAAGTACAAATCGTATATTTTTTTAGGAATTTTAACCACATCAAAACCTGATTTACTTAGAAAACCGTAACCATTTTATTGAGTTTGATATTATGTACATAATAATATACAACACTACTTGTATTCCAATTAGAATAATTAATTAGGATAATAGGAGAAGGGGTCTCGAATTCGAAATCTCTACTTAACTCTTACATAAAGTAAAACCGAAGTTTTCGCTTACATATATTAACAATGAATATGTACTATTTATGTTATTAGACTCATGTAATAAGGAGTAGCCTATTGTCATATATCGGGCACATTTCCAGACTCCGTGCTACAACTGAGATTAAAAAAAAAACAGTAATACTTTGCGCGTCGGGCCCTTGCCCGACAGTCGTATTTGCGACCACTAGTTAGAGGCAGTTACTATGTTGAATGTATTAAATACAATAATGTAAAAATGATAATAACAATAATGTCACTCACATTCTCGTTGTCCCTCTGTTGCTATATCTAGCAACCATTTCCGGGGCCCGTTCGGTGAGTTGGCGAGTCTCCGCCTACCACTTTTACGTGTAATTGTTTTGGCAGGTGCCATAGTCATCCATAGTTCCCAATTTACCAGTCCACAGCAACCCATCTATAGCCTTACCACTACTATAATAGTTCTACACTAACCGGGGACTGTCCTTGGGTGCATTTCCATAGTGCATACAGGGATAGTCGCCGGTTTGTGTGTCCATTACATTTATATTAAAGTTGTCTAAACGGCCTCTGCGCAGTTGGCTTCGGCCCCTCGTACGCCTCCCAAATGACCAGGACCCTGTGGTCCCGTGAATGGTAAATACATACTAAATAACAATAATGTAATACAATAATGTGGCAATGTATTAAAAATAAGATGAGACGTATACAAATAGATCTTAAACAAATCTCATCGAAATCAAACACAAACATCGAAAACAAATCGAAAAAATGAACGAAGTCTTAAGTACTCCAAATCTTAATTGAACAGATAATTATTTATTTATTTATTTAAGTTTTATACAATTGAATAAGGAAGACTTAATGCTAACAGCATTCTCTTCCAGTCATCCTTTGGGTAGTGCAGAAATGTATGTGGTCGGTGGTAAGCTGCAAAAATGTTATGAGAGATAGTGGTAATTATCCAAATTAATAAAAAGGTATCAAAAGCATACATAAAATACGTAAATACTATCGTATAGATATATATAATTATATATAATATAAATGTCATTATACATATAATTATCTCTCTATACCTAAATAAAACCACGTCGTAAACGAGTGTCCATAGATATATAATGTTTTTAATAGCTCTGTGGAATTGACCAAGGTTTACCTACATTTAAACGAACTTATCACAGCTCAAACCTACTTATATGTCTTTATTTAGTTTTCCATACAAATGTTACTTCGAAACAAATTAGATATAGTACTCGTAAACATAATTCTGTTTATATTTCATTGCACAATGGATCGTATGTTACAGTTTGGTCGTAGTACTTCTAATTACTAGTCTACGGAATTATACGAGTATGTTTAGTCACACAAATGCCGACAATGCATCGTGTGCAAACTCTAATTGGCTGATTGTCATGTCAATAAAGATATAAGCGATAAGTCAAAGCCAAACGCAAGCTTATATAATTTATTTTTCATTAATTTGCCTGCAGGTTAATTGGTTTAATATAAAATGCCTTTATTTTCAATATCTACCTCTATATAAATAAAAATGAATTGTCGTTCGTTAGTCTCGCTAAAGCTCGAGAATAGCTGAACCGATTTGGCTAATTTCTTCTTCAAGGTCTTGAAATGATCGTGGAAGTCCAGGGAAGGTTTAAAAGGTGAGAAATAAATTTTTAGGCGGTACGAAGTTTGCCGGGTCAGCTACTTAATTAATGTTTTCGGGTCTCAGCACTCATTAATTGCACTCATTAATTGAAATTGTTGATAATTTTTGATTTTATTTATTTTTATTTAATCTTATAAGCATCAAAATTCTATTTAGATTGTATCAGAATTTGAAGTAGAATAGTTCTTATAGGTATTTAAAATGTGTTAGACGTTGACGTAATCTATAATGTTTGAATTAGATTTTTCATATAAGGAAAGTTTTCGTTCCACATTATATAAATAGATAATATTTCCAAACCATTAACTCCTTCGTTTATTACTAAACAGTAAATTCTTTTATCATTAGAATAGTTCACATTCGTTAAATGATTGTACATAAAATCAGGAGACGTTTGGCGTATAGCTCTTTAGGGACTTATGGGGAATTTTAGTAACAAAATAATAAATTCTAATAAGATTCTAACATTCCAAGAAGAAAACAGGCCAAAGAGAATATTTTGTATTTTGAAATAACTTCTTTCTTACTTTTAAGACTGTTTCAGGTTTTGTTCTCTAATTTGATAAAATAATCAGCCCTTTTAAATATTCATGTTTATAGGAGGTTTATTAATTTAATACTTATAGGTATATTGTATTCTAATTGGAATCAATTCACTTATAATTTTCGATTCCAATAACAATATATATAAAAAAAAGGAATACTTATTGGAATTTCTACATAACATTTTATTCTAATTTAAACTATACTTCAGTAGAAGTATAGTCGACTATTCATCCCAGAAACTAATAATTAGACAGATTAAGGTACGTACACTTACGAATCACATTAAACTAATATAAAATTCATTATTTTACAAATATCATATTTTATACACAACCTTGATAGGGTTCATAAACCTTCGTTTAATTATTCAGACATTGGACACGGCAACTGATAGGAACTACGTACATATTTTAGTTAAGAATTTAATGTAGAAGTCATTAAAAATTTAAAGTTAACTAACACTTAGGAACTTGAGTTTAACTAATTAAAATGAGTTCAATGTACAATGTACAGGTAGACGTTGTTTTCATGATGGTGATTTATTGAACCGTGAAATTAACAAAATCGGTCTGCAACTGAAAATATCAACTTGATGAGGATTTAAATTAGAACTATTCGATCTCTTTGTCCTTTGTAGAGGGGCTAAGTGAGTATAACTGCTGAGCAAAGGGGTTCGGGTAAGATTCTTAGGTCTATCGAAGGATTATTGTTGGAAATTTTTCGTTTTTCGACAACATCTTAGTTCGTCGTCTTAGCATGGAGTTCGGAATGATGTACAGTACAATGGCAACATACTTATCGTCTATTACAATATGAGATTAATAGTATATGTGACTAAAGAAGGAAATAACGTGGAAGTAAGATATGAATCCAACCCAGTAGTTGTAGCTGATTCTTATAGAAATAGAAACTCGTAATATTGCTAGTAAAAAAAAAGAATAAAACATCAACATCATTATTAACAGCCTATAATACGTGGCCACTGCTGACCAAAGCCCTCTTCTAACAAGGAGAAGGTTTGAGCATTAATCACCACGCTTGCTCAATGCGAAACTATAGTAAGTCCAGGTTTCCTCACGATGTGTTGCCTTCACCGTATATCAATGGTGTCTAGATAATCTTAGAAAGTAGGTACATAACTTGGAAACAGTCATATTGGTACATTCCGTTGGTAGATTTCGAACCAGCAATCTAATGCATGAGAAGCGGGCGTCTTAAACCTCCGGGCTATTACTATCGTGCCATATTACAATAATTATTATTAAATACATGAATGACTACCTCATTGGCCGAGTGGTCGCAAGTGCGACTGCGGGGCAAGGGGTATCGGGTTCGATTCCCAGGTCGGGAAAAGTATTACTGGATTTTTAAAATATTCTCAGCAGTAGCACGGAGTCTTGAATTGCGCCCGGTATATAGGCTCACCCCCTATTACGTGGGACTCATAACATAAATAGTGAAAAGTGGGTGTTACATTGTACAGTGGCAGTGATATTGCCTACCCCTTCGGGGATAAAAGGTGTGATGTTATATTATGTTACATGAAAGACATTGACTAAACTGACGTCAAATAACATTCAACATATCAGAACTGAGTATGAATAGCCGATGTTTTGACACTATAACCACCGAGGCGCGGTATAACGGGCAATTTGTGTCAACATGGAGTTAATCACGGATAAACATTTGCATAAGTAAATCATAAACATTGTTCGTTTATATGTATATTGGTGACGTTATTGTTTAGATAGATTTGTTGTTTGTGTATAAATTTTATTAGGTTCCTGATAACATTTTGTTCTAGAACATTTCACTAAAATATCTTGGTAATTTCTGCATCCCATGAAATACTCTCATAGTTATTTCTGCTCAAGAGATGCTTTTCAATCTAAATTCTACAGGATGGAATTTTGTAATACCACCTAAAGTCCCTAAAGTCATTCGCATTACTCATAATACCTAATACGTTAGATAAAATATTTTACTCAAAGAAAGCTTTCCTTTATT